CCCGCTGCTGCACAGGAGGTGGGGAGCACGAGCAGGAGGACATCTAGGGGTATCCTGTTCCAGCCATGTGTGCAGAACACAGTCCCCAGGGACCCCATGACATTGCCTAGCCTGGCGATCACCCCCTGACAACCCTTCCCAAACAGGACACTGATGTTCCTGGCCTCCCACCCACAGAGCCACAACTTTCTCACTGGCCTACCCCCTCCCTACAAGTTCATCTCCATGACTTTCTTGATGGAGATATTGCATAGCCCATGCTTCTCACTCAGAGCCACATGCTGGTTCTATCTGTACACCACCTGTAAGCTGCAGATCAACTGTACCTGGGCCCAGGAGGGCTGCTTCCTGCTTCCCTAGCAACTGGGATCACCTCTGGTCTAGGCAACTCAGTGAATTTATCTGCCATCCAATGGCTATAACCAATGATGTCTGAAGGGCATATGGGGTAAGGGTTCTTCATCTATATTTGTCCTACCTACGTATTCTTCTCTTTACATCCCATAGGTATTCTGTTATTATAGATTAATATAATGCCTTATTTTAAAAAAAAAAAAACTTCTCACTAGCCATGGTGATACATGCCTGTAATTCCAGCTGCTTAAGAGGCTGAGGCAGGAAGATTACAAGTTTGAGGTCTGCCTGGACAACTTAGTGAGATTCTGTCTCAAAATTAAAGAATAAAAAAGGCTAGGCATATGGCTCAGTGGTGGAGTGCTTGCTTAGCATGCACAAGGGCCTGGTTCAATCCCCAGTGCTGAAAAAAAAAAACCCAAATAGACTTCTGTTTAAATCATTATGTGCTTTCTGTCTCCCAATTAGACCCAGACTGACAGACCACTGTTTCCCCAGCATCTAGCACAACACAGAACAACATATATTAGCTCTTTATGCATCTATTTCTCCCTTCTTAAAACAGCTTTCAGCCACTGTGTGTCCTGAAATTTAATAATTTAGAAACTATAATGAAAAATGGCTTCAGGACATTAGGTTAACTAAAAGAAAAGAGAAACAAGATCTATATATTTGTGGCCCAGAGATAAAAGCTAGGATAAATGGATAAACTAGTATAGAAATTTGCTTTCACTTAATGAAGAACACTGTAATAGATAATTTCAGAAAAGGAGTAGCATCCTGTAATGGAGGGGAAACTAGTCTAGATACTCACCATAGTGCTTTGAACTTCTTAAAATGCCATGATTTTAGAAGTTACCAGATTTCAGAAGCTATCAGATCTGGGGAAGGGGCAATTGGAAAGTCACTGCTTAAAGGGGTTAACATCATTCTGTTATTTTAAGTGTGGAATGCAGAAGATTTAAATTTAAATTTGACTTAATAAAAACAAATATCTTCATTACTGATGTGGATAAAGGCATTTCTCTCAAATAGGAAGAATGCATTCTCACCACAGAGGGCTAAGTGAAAACTGGATTCAGAAATCCAATGATTCATAAAAGCCATTAGCAATTCTGTGTCTCTCAGAAGTACTGCTGAATCCAACTGGAGTGGTTCCTCAAGAGCAGAAAAATAACCACACCCATGAAAAGCTCCTTTGTTTATGTTACCATATTACCATGATGATAAATGTTCTTATTGATGATAAAATGGAACACACGCAGTTTAGAAAAAAAGTTATTTTTGCCTAACCACATACATAAATGCACAAGTCCACATAAATAATGGCTAAAACACTACAGTTTAATACCTGAAAAAAATACTTAAGGACTGAAAATACACTGGTTTAAGTTCACTTCTTTCTTCATGAACACAGCTTGTTAAATTCTGGCAGATTAGGAAGACATCCATGAGACATCTACAACCAGAAAGCCTACTGTGTTAAGTTTTAGAGCCAATGAAAAATTCATTTTAAAATTTCTTTAGTTATTTCTTTCATTAATAATATGTATTCCTGCTGGGCATAGTGGAGCACACCTGTAATCCTAGCACTCTGGGAGGCTGAGGCAGGAGGATTACAAGTGTGAGCCTAGACTGGGCAACTTAGCAAAACCCTGTCTGGAAAATAAAAAAGGGCCAGAGGACACAGCTCAGTGCAATAGCCCTAGGTTCAATCCCTGGTACTAAAAACAAAAAAAAGTATTTCTTTTTTTAAAGTAGAGAGATTGGAAAGGACATATAACATTAATACTAACTGAAAGAAATCTTTGATAATGAAGAAAAGGTTGGAGGACTATCACTACCTGATTTCAGAATTTACTACTAAGCTAATTATTAAGATGATTAAATGAATGGAATAGAATACAGATCCAGAAATCACAAGTTCAAGCTCAGCCTGGGAAAATTAATGATTTAGTGAGACCCAGTCTCAAAATAAAAAATAATAAAAAGTCTGAAACTGTAGCTCAGTAAAAGTCCCTGGGTTCAATCCTCAGTATCAGCAGAAAAAAAAAAAAAGTCATATTGGATTATACACCTAAACATAAAACTCAAACTATTACATTTGTAGAAGAAAACAGAAAATCTTCATGACTTTGTTAGGTAACCAAAAGAACAACCCATGAAATTTTTAAAAATGATAAATTGGACTTCATCAAAATTTAAAACTTTGACTCTCTCAAAAACAATATTAAAAAGACAAGGCAGACTTGGAGAAAATACTTATAAGTCATAAATCTGATAAAGGACTTACATCTAGAATTTATAAAGGGCTCAAAATTCAGTAATAGGATGTGGGTTTATTGAGGAATGGAGTGGGGAAGTATGGGAAAGAAGAAACCCAAGGCACAAGGAAATTTTTTAAGGTAACAGAAGTATTCATCACCTTGCTGAGATGATGGTTTCACAAGTGCATATGTGTATCAAAACTTATTAAATTTTTTATTTTAAAGATGTTTGATTTTTGTATGCCAGGTGTACCTCAATAAAGCTGTTAAAAATAAATCAGCTGCTTGTTTGAGGTATATAAAAACCTTGGGGAATGTCCTTTCTTTCAACCAAGAAAAGATAAAGTTAAACTCACAACTAGTATCTGCAAAAAAGTCATGTTTAAATGTACATGGTATCAATGTAAAAATATAAAAACAACAACACACAAACCTAAAACTCTTTCTTTTCACAAAATGCAAATGCAAGAAGTTTGTCCATTTACATTCAAGTCAAGTTCTGATGCAACTGTTTCTCAATGACTTTTCTCATCACTCAAGTAGAAAGTAATTGTTCCCTCTTGTGAATCACCATACTACTTATGCTAATTTTAGATATTAATTCAAAGTATTTATCCATTTACCCACTGCACATTTATTAAGTACCTCACATGGGCAGGGCCTGGGCTTGGCACTAAAAACACAAAAGTAAGTGGGACACAGTCGTTCCCTTCAAGAGCTTCACAGTCTTGCAGCGAGTGAATATTTAATACATCAATAAATAGAAAGTAACAGTAACACACCAAAACAACTCTTTAAATAAATACCAAAACCTATAACAGGAACATAGAAGAAATTTAGTTTTTTAGATACACTACCATGATTTCTTCAATGTCCATTTTCCTTCAGGCCTAAGACTCTGAGGACAAGGGTCCAACTCTAGTAATCTACTAGACTGCCCAGCATAGTACCTCATGAGTATTTTATGCTTGCATATTTGTTTGAACAAATGAATATTCCATTTCATAAGCATATCCTCTTTCACCAGAAGGTAGGGCCACCATGTTGCCAACTTCAAGTTCCAACCTTTATCCCCTTTGTCAACAAAGGTATGGCAATAATGAATTTAGGAGGAGACAAAAGCAAAGAATGGGGCTGGGGATTTAGCTCAGTGGTTCCACCGCTTGCCTCATAAGCGCAAGGTCCCAAGTTCGATCGCCAGAACAAAAAAAAGAGCAAAGAATGGCCATTCTCCCAGAGAAGAAAACAGGAAGGAGGTAGGGGTGAGATGGAACTTGGCCTGCAGAGATCTAGTTCAGAAAGAATGATGGCCATGATTCAAGCTCCTGCAGTGCTTCTAAGAAAGCCCTAGCTTTCTGCATGTTGCCGCTATGCCCAGAAGAATACACACGGATGGCAGCCAACTAATCTCTATAGCAGTGGTGGTGAACCTATGGCAAGCATACCATAGTGGGCTGTTTGTTATCACTGAAAGTGCTAAAAGGTTCACCTTCACTGCTCTATAGGAATCACACCAGTCTCACTGTGAAAGACATTTCTAGGTATGTGTGGGTTCAATCTGCTACAATATAATACCATAAACTTGACAGATCAGAAACACAGAAATTTATTTCTCACAGTTCTAGAAGTTGGGAAGTCTAAGAGCCAGGTGCCAGCAGATTCAGTATCTCATGAAGGCCCACTTTCTGGTTCATAGATGGTGTGTTCCAGATGCATCTTCACATGGTGGAAGGGGCAAGCTAGCTCCCTGGGGCTTCTTGTATAATGGCCCCAACTCTAACCACGAGGGCTCTGCCCTGATTCCCTGGTCGGCCCCCAAAGGCCCCACCTCCTAATACCATCACATTGAGGGTTAAGATTTAAAAATATGGATTTTGGAGGAACACAAACTTTCAGACCTTAACCCAGACTACATTTGTGACTTTCTATTTTCCCAAGTGATCACAAACCCTTTCTCTCTGCTCAGTTTCTGACAGGGCAGAAAGGTGGAAGAGATAACCGCTTTGGGAAACCAAACATAGGGACAGGGAATAACACAATTATCTCATTTTCTCATGATCAACATATATGCAATTTTGCAATTTCAGTTAGGATAAAAGTAGCACAAATTGAAAAGGTCTCCAATTACAACCAAGAGATTTGGATTAAGCACCAAGAAGTAGTCCAATTCAACATAACCAGAAAAACTATTCCTCTCCACATTAGCAATAAGGCAGACTTACTCCTTGTACTTAGACCTACAGAAATAATAGGTCTCAAAAGGGAAAAGGAGAGGTTCATTTAAGTCCGACTGGACCCACCGGCTGGATGATGGCTGTAGAAGACAGCAGGCGATCTCTGGGGCTAAGCGTCTTCCTGAGCACTGGGCTGGACTCTTACCTGTAGATGGGGTCTTGCATCACCAGCATCTTGCTCTCATCCCATGTCCACTCCTTTTTCTGCAATAAAAGAAGCTATAAATGAATAAGTTAGGCTTGTCCTCAGCTATAGAACCAGGGCACCGTTGAGCTACTAATGCTTATGCAAACACATCCATTTTGCTCCTGGCCTGATTTTTCCCTCTAAGAGACCCAGAGCTGATTGCTCCAAAAGGACAAGTGGAAAATGTCATGTGTCTGGTCTGGTCTGTTTCCTTTAAGCACTTTAGGAGTGTCTCTCCAGGGCACAGAGGGTAAGCAGGAGCCAAAGAGGCCTCAGGGGACCACAGGGAGATGCTAAATCAAGTATCTTAGAGAAATCACAAGAAAGCAAAGATCACACATCACTTCAGAGCAGTGGGAAGAGATGACTAGAAAGGAGAAGAGATCAACTACAAGACTCGTAATATGTTTGGGATGCTGTTAGATGCAAATGAAATGTAATCCCATCCTCTCTTCCTTAAAGGGACAAAAAAGCTCCATACAGCCAAATACAGGAGTTGATTGAAAGATAATGGTGAATGCTTAAAAAACACAGTGAAGACTCTTTATGCCAATAATGATGGGATAAATGTGTTCAAATTAAAGGGATGTATCTTGTCTATTCTGAGATGATTAATGGCAATGTGTATTATATCATAATAAATTTAAACATTCACCATATTTTATGATCAGTCAAATTTTTACAGCAATTTCTGTCAAATAAAAACATTACACTGTGTGTTCATGCACCTTATTTACCAGATCTGGCACCATGCAGCTTCTGGCTTTTCCTTAAAGTTAAAATGACCATAAAACGTTAAGTGTTTTAAATCAACTCGGGACACTAAGGCAGCCACAACAATCTAACTAAAGACACTCATGAAAGAGGACTTCCAGAACTGCTTCAGAAAGTGGCAACAACAATTGGATAAGTGTGTTTAAAGTGGGGGTGGGGTGGGGTGGGGTGGTAGTATTTTGAGGGGGATTAATGGCAACATGTTTTTAGACTGTAATATATTTTTAAAAATTTAAATATTTACCCTTTTTAAAAATTGTACTGTGTAAGTTAACTAGTGCATTTGCAAAGGTACTTGTGAGAGGATATTCATTCTGGCTGTGATCCCAGCTTATCGTGAACACAAAAGGACCCACTCCTAAAGGCAGGTAGGAATGCGGATGGCAATGGGGGTGAGAAAATTCAAAGTGCAGTGCATGATGAGCAGCACCCAAGGTTTCAGGGATGCATTTGAGGGTTAGGGAAAGCACCTGTGGTTAAGCTAGCAGCCCACCACATGCCTTCAGGCCTGACCCTTGGTTGCAAGGGCAGAGAATCCTATTCTACCTTCCTGGGCTTTGGCATACAGACAGTGCTTTCAGAACTTCTTGCTAACATAGCTGACTTTTTTGTACACAGTACACTTGCCAATGCTCCCTTCAAAACCTGACACTCTGAACTGTATCTCTGATCAGGTACAGTCTGGCCAGCATGGTACAAAGATACACTCTGTCCTATGTGGCACCCACGATAGTACTCTTAGCCCAGAAAAGATTGGTTTATAGCATTCTTTAGCTGCTCATGACCTTGCTAAATGATTCATTAGAAACTGGTTTCCAACTGATGAATTAAAATTTTTCAGGCTAAAGTTTAAATACTTGGATGTCTATTTTAAACACAACACAATTTTTCACCATAGGAACTGTTTAAACACCAAGATATAATGTTTAACATATGATTTCACTTGGGGTCAAATTCTTTGTAACATAAATACCACATTAAGCCACCTCCATTGTCATGACAACATACTCTACCTGCACTTTTAATCCAGTTCACGTAACAGTGTTTAAAAAGCACCTACTCTGTGCTATTGAGGCTATCTGTTGGGTTTATTTCAGCTACTACATTCTCCAGCTCTAATATTTCTATTTGGTTCTTCATTTCTTCTATTTCTTTGCTGAGATTTTCTACTTTTTCATTCATTTAAAGATTGCTCATGGAAGTGTGTTTATGATTGCTCCCTTAAAGTTGTCAGGCAATTCTAACATCTTTGTGATCCTGGGGTTGGCATCTATCTATTGGTTATCTTTTTTCTCTCAAGTTGAGGTTTTCCCCATTCCTGGTATGGTGAGTTGCTTTCAGTTGAAACTCAGGCCTTTTGAGTATTATAATACTCTAGACATTTGTCAAACTTTCTGTTTCAATGACCATCCTGTGACACTGCTCAAACAGGGGAAGGAGGAGGAGGCTACTTGTCACTGCCAGGGGAGAGTTATGTCCAACTTCTCATTTGGCCTCTCTTGACATCTAAAGGGGAAGGGGCTCCTCGTGACTGCTGGGTGTGCATGGCAGTTCTAGCTCCCACTGGGCTTGCTCTGACTTCCAGTGGCCCAGTGGGACAGGAGTGCCTTGTCCTTGCTCTCCAAGAGTCTTTCACTAACATATGCATTACTACATTATCACCCAAAACCATTACTACTGGGTTCTCCACAGGGGAACAGGGATGAGGCAGGGAGGGAGACACTTATCACTAACTGGCAGGGATGAAAGCCCTAGGGCTCTTCTCAGCCTCCTCTGATGCCACTCAGTGGGGCAGTGGGCCCCTCATGACAGCCCGAAGTGGTGGGAGTCTGGCTTCCCACTCAACCACACTGGCCTGAGTGCTGGAAGGCAGGATTTTCTATGTTGTTTGGCTGGAAGAGTGGTGATTGTCTAAAAATTTTCGCCCTTTTTATGCTGCCCTTTTCCTCCTTGTTTGGCCACAGAGAGGGAGGGCTTTGTGTCTTAAGGAAGCTGGCTCTGAGTCTAGGATATGTAAGGTGACAAGGAAACTCAGGGAACTCACAGCTACGCAGTTCCTTGCATTTCAAGGTTCCTAGCCAGGCTCTCTTCTCTCCAACTTTCAGAATATTTTGATGTTTCTGACATATACTGTCCAGGGGTTTCAGTTGTATTATTAGGAGAGATAGGGAAAATTAGAGCTACTCCATCTTCTCAGAAGCAAAGGCCTGGGGTGTGTGTGTGTGTGTGTGTGTGTGTGTGTGTGTGTGTGTGTGTGTGTGTGTGATATGTAGATAACTGTTTAAAACTACATTTGCCTGGACCTACCTCTTGAGATACAGGAACATAGTAGGTCCTGGTGAGGACCTATAATCTGCCAGAAATCTGACAATTGTCCCTGCCATTCTCCGGTGCCTCCCTATTTTCTCTCCCAGGCCTTTAACACTGTCCTGGCACCTGCTTCTCTGACTAACATAGAAAGTGACAAAGGAAAGTAATCTTTACCCATTTCATTTTTGATTCTCAGAAGTTTCCTAGTTGATATGGGAAAAAAGTCTATTACTCTCTTTAAGAAAGGAGCTTAACATTATTAAAATTGATCTCCACTTTAAAGGTTAACACTGGCTCAAGGGTAACTTATTTCCCTCCAAATCCACCTAGTCCAGTGGTAAGTAAAACCCATCTCTTCTACATCCAGATCCCATGGCCCTTTGGTACTCCAAGCAATGAAATCTGACTCTCCCACTGCCCACTGCCTAGAATAATTTTGCTTTCAACAGAGGAAGGGGATAAAGGGAGGTTGCTTGCTGTGTGCACTTTTGTAAGCCCTCTGAATGGAGTAAGCACATCCTTGTTGCAGGACAGTGGTGGTGGACCTATGGCATGTGTGCTGAAGCCAGCTCTTTGTTATCATTGAAAGCTCTAAAAGGTTCACCATCCCTATTATAGGACCTTCTCTGTCCTTCATCCACTGAGGGAGATGTCAAGTTCTCCGTGGAAATTCACAGACATTCTGTAACTCTCAAATCTGCTGGCAGAGAATGTTATGTGGGAACTGGCTCAGGTAGGGCTGACCGGAACAGCACCAACTCCAGAAGACAGTCAGGAATGATGACCACAGTGGTCCTGCCTCCTTTCAGAAGCCAGAAATGGATACAGCTTTTTGAAGCCCTTCCCTAGGAAACCAAAAATAGAGGAGGAATCTGTACTGACATTTATTTATTACCCCAATGCAAATCATTATAAATAAGTATGTTTCAAAGTCTGCAAATTTGGCCATTAGGCATGCAGCATTATCCACACACCTGACAGCAATGGTGATTTCTTTTTAAAATAAAAAGAAGAAAACCTTGCAAAGGTTATATAAACTCAGCTTGACAAGTTCTCCATGCTTCTATGTAGAAGAGGATTATACTGAGAATAAAGCTATCTCCTACCTTCCGGTATAACCTAAGGATATAATAAAGTTCACTTCAAAATTGAAGTGCTAAGAATTCTGCATGCAATACACATGACTCCAAATACATTCACTTTAAAACTAGCAGGAAATAAAGAAGGTGAGTAGGGCCGGGGATTAGCTCAGTGATTCCACCGCCTGCCTCGAAAGCCGAAGGACTCAAAAAAAAAAAAAAAAAAGAAGCCGAGAAAGCACAGCATAGAGGAAAGAAGACTAAACTAAGTTTAGGGTGCAGATTCACTTTGGCGTTATCAATAACTGCCTAGGAAACCCAGGCAGAGGCATGGTACCCCTCTCATCTTCTGTTCCCATATCCAATTAATTCAGGGATCAGACCAGGTCATTTCTTAAATTCCTTTTCCTAAATTCTGGCTCTATAATTCTGAGTGTTTCTTTTGCTTGCTCAGTTAGATTTGAGTTCTGTGCTTCCATATAACTAACAGTACTGCTTGGGTGACAGAATAGTCTCCTGTGATAGAGTGTAGGTTAGAAAATACAGACCCTGGATTTATTAATGAGACATTTCCTATAGTATAGCATTTATCTTAAGGAGTCAAGAGATTAATGTGTGTACACACACACACACACACACACACACACACACAGAGCAACATAACTGACAGAACCTGACTGGAATTTGAGCAAATAGACCTGGTTTGAACCCTAATTTGCCTTGACTTCACTACTGATGGTACTTGAGATTTTGGGCAAGTTGTTCAATCTTCTTTCACAAAATAAGCCTAAGAATTATATCTACTTTGTGGGATGTGTAAGGATTTAGTAAGTAGATAGTGCATCAAACAAAGCTAGAAAAAAGTAGGTGCTCAATATCAATGCCAGCTATTATAACTCTTCTCCTTAGTGTAATTACTTCCATCAGTTTGTTCCCTCTCTCCTTCCATCTTCTCAACAGATAGTTTCAGAGAGGACATACTCCTGGTTCCCTAAAACGCACAACCTATGGGCGAAAGAGATAAATAATGCTAGTGCTAGGCTGAGGACACAGTTCAGTGATACAGCATGTGCTTATTAGCATGCATGAGGCTCTGGGTTCAATCTCCGGTACCAAAACAGAACAAAAACGAAGAAAAAACTCTAATGCAATTTTCTAAGAGCTGTAATAGTCCTGCGTGCATATAAGGTGCCATTAAAAATAATTAATTTTGGTGGAAAGGGTCCATATCTAATACTCATATATATCTCCTATACACTTCCTAGGACACAGTCTTTCTAAAATGTCATTATGAGGCAGTGATGGCTAATGTTTTAGAGCTCTCAGTGATACAAACAGCCGCTGCAGCACCCTGCCATAGGTTTGGCACAACTATCTTAGAGGATCACAACAAAGTTACTTGTTTATTAGGCCCTTTAGTGGAAAAATCCCCTGAATGAAGCTCAAGGCTAATCTTTCTTACTCAAGATTCCACACCCTAGCAAATGGTGCTATAGTGTGATTCCAGAATTATAATGATCATTACTATATACAAAGAAAAGATGACTACTTAGGCCTATTTAGGAGTTGAAGAAAATGCTCTGATTGAGAGAGATCAAAGCAGAGCTAATTATCTTAGTAACTGGTTCTCACTACAAATTCAACCTAAGATTCGGAAGGAATTTGTGATTCATTATCTGCTGGCATCAGTTCAAGAAGAGAACATTTTTAGACACTTGTTAATATAACCAAAAGAGATGGTTTTTACATCCCAATGAGATGACTATAATATATTTGGCTACTGCCAGCATTAGTAGTATGCACCTGAAGATCAGAATCACCTGAAGAAGCCCTACTACTTGTATCTAAATTAGCAATTTCTGTTAAAGCCTTTATGTGTGTGGGAAAGGCTCTGATTATTTGTTAAACCGACAGATTGAAAAGAGAAAAAAAAGGGAGGAGTGTGTGATCATCCAAAGTAACAAATACAGTACTGCTAAATGCTAAATAGTGTTTAATGACATGATCACATACAAATAAAGCTCATTCATCCAGCCACCAATAGTCACAATCCCTGAAGACATTCTACATGTACCAGATGTGCCCGTGAAGCACTTACAAAAAAAGGCTTACATAGATGGCCCCTGCCCTCAAAAAGTTTGCCAGAGGCAAGGGCTCCCTGCAAACACACTTCTGTCCTCAGCCAGGAAGCACACCGCCATGGAACACTGATAGATAGCATGAAGAGAGAGAGAAGTCAGGTGGCAGCTTTAGGAAGTGTGACCTCAGAGGGGCCCCTCCTGGCCTAGAAGGTTGGAAGAGAACAAAACTGCAACCAGCTCAGCCTCTGGAGTCTCTTTCTCTATAGCCCAGTAGGCTCCCAAAGACCTGACTACATAAAGTACCTTAGATTTATACACATGCATTAAAAAGCATAGTTCTAGGGCCAGGGATTTAGCTCAGTGGCTCCGCTGCCTGCCTCGCAAGCGCAAGGACCCAAGTTCGATCCCTGGTACCAAAAAAAAAAAGCATAGTTCTAGAGCTGGTTTAAAGTAATGTGAACTGGAAGTTAAAATGATCACCCAATCCAAACCTTCATTTATAGGTGAAGCTCAGGGAGGCAAAAAAACTCGCTCAGGGCCTACAGGCTGGAGTGGGTCTTCTCATCTCAGCCAGGGGGCCCTTTCAGCACGTCACACTGATCCAGAGAGAACCAGTGTGCTCTCTGAGGACTAGTTCACATTTCCACTAATCGGTCCTGCCAGCCACCGACTGATCAGTAGGGAATGTCAGGTGGTCTACGGTACCACAGCCTTAAGGCTGACTGCAAGCCAAGGCTGTTGCTACACCCATGGCAAGCTGGCAAGAGTGTCAGCACTTAACCTAATCATGATTTCATTAGTGACATTTGCTGCCTGTTCCAGTGCCTTGGGGGAAATTGTGCAATTACACTATGGCTTGCCTACTCTCAACCCCAACTCTGTACACAGAGAAAGAGAGAAAGCATGTGTGAGTGTGGTAGGAACACACTCAGATACCAGAGGACTGTCACATGGGAACATAATGACAAAAAGGCTGATTGCTACTAATGTGCATTCATCTGGCAGAGGCGGTAGAAAATGCACACTGTGATTAAAGGCATTATCCAAATCACAGCCACAGCTCTGACATGGACACCAAACGTGGGTGGAGGAAGCAAAACAGGAGGTTCCTCTTTCCCAACCTGGCCCAGCAAAGACCTGCTGGGTAACCTCTGTCCTGGCCCAGCAGCAGGGTGAACACTGGAGATCCCCCAGCATAGAATTTCAGAGTGAGTCACAAAGTACCTGGTCCCCTCCTGGGAGATGCCACTTCACCTTAGGGTGCATGCACTGGTGGGGGGGGGTTCTGCTCCAGGTGTCGCTTCAGCATACCTCTGCCTAAGTCATCTGACCTATTTCTCACACTCACTCAGAACAGGGATACCACCATGTATGGTATGCCTGAGAGAGACAGAGATGGGCAAAAAGATTGTCCCCTAGGGCAAATCCATAAAGTCATTCCATAGTGGATGACATCAGAGGAATACTAGGTTACTTGAAAGAGATGGAATAGCTCCCAGGACAGCAGGCCTTAGTTACCTACCTGAAAGTAAACTGAGATCACATCAGTCAGCTGTGTATGTGCTCCGAGATGGGACAGCAGTCCCGGGGGTGTTCCCCTTGGAGGTATAGAATTGAGAGAGTATCAGAGGGAAATCCAGGTAGGCTGCGCCAATCAGGCCCTGGACATCTGTCCTACAAGGCCACCGTGAACACCATGGGGCTGTCTGTCATCAGGGAGCCTGAGTTCAGGGAGCATTCCTGTCATGTAACCAGCCAACCTGCCCCCCTTGCCCATCCAGAACACTAATCATTTGCATTCTCATGCCATTTGCTTATAACGGGAAAGAAATGTGCTTGTCAGGCTAATGAGAGTATCTGGCCTAAGAGACTGTTCTACGGCTCAGAGTGAATTAGGAAACCTTTTGAGCTCTTTCAATGTGAGTTAGCATCCTAAGGTTCAAAACTTCAAAACTGGTGAGTCTGAGTCCCATGGCCTGAAAGGCTAGCAGCTCAGCCCCTGGTAAGGAAGACAGGTCAGTAGGGAAATTGTTGGCCAAGAAAAATGTCCACAAAGACTGATGGAAGGATTCATGTCAATGGGCATGAAAGGACTGTGTCATGCAGAAAATACCCACAAATGGCAATTACGTTATCAGTTCCTCCCTGAGGCTGCTGAGCCCCTAGCTTTCCTCACATGAAGGGCTGAGTAATGCAATCTGACATAAGGGACAAAAGCCAATCTCCCTGGATCACAAGCTCGGGTTGCATCTGCCCTTTTGTTCTCTGAGGATATCTCTTGCTCAAGTTAACACTGTTGTTATTCATAATTTGAAGCCCAGATACTTAACAGGCTCCAGCTTGCCTCATTGACTGTGTAGCTCATGGCAATAGTCTCAGGACTGTCCCATGGCCACACACTGTGTGCACATCTGAGAGCGGGGAGAGGAGGCAGGAAAGATATTCCTGGTGGCAGCCACTGTAACTGGAGGACACAAGGATGCACGATGTGGGTGGAAGGCACCTCAGATGGGGCTGAGGGTTGTTCCAGCGACAGAAAGGGACAGCTCTGAGGAGCTTCCCCTGTCTGTTCCCACACTGAAACCTGTTACCAATTTCAAAATGGTTGGGACCAGACAGTTTCAAATTTCAGAGTTTTACTAGATTTTGGAATATTTGTGTAGACCACTTGAGGATCACTACATCTACCTGAGATTCTCCAAAACCTGAAATGTTTTGAGAGCCAACATGATACCCCAACAGTTACAGATTTTGGAATATTCTGGATTTCAGATTGAGGTGCTTGACATATATCACTTACATTGGAAGTATTTCCCATGGTCAAGACTCAAAGGTAAAGGTATCAAAATGAAGCAGAGGCCCTGAACATGAGGATGATGGGAGATGTAGGATGTCAGGACTGAGCAACTGTCTAACCAGACCACGTACCCCTGCCTCACCATCTGCTCCAGCTGCACCTGTCAACACTGCTGCTGATCAAAACAGATGATCTCACCAGGTAAGGGAGCATTCAGTCCAGAGAATGTTCCAGAAGGAAAAGTCACCCCATGGCTACCTTCCCCACTTCCCTCTTCACACAATTTCCCATTCAGAGTACTTACCTTTTTCTTCTTCTTCAGAATCACTTTCACTCCATCCACTGAAACCATAATGCTCACTTTCTTCTTTTTGATGTTTTTGGCTTTAAACTCATACTGCAGAGAAGAGAACAAAGAGGCAGAAATGGATTAGGTCAGCACATCTGCAGGGCCCCAGCTAGCCCACAACCTGCCAAAGATGGTCCCCACACAGGCCTAGGGAGCTGGTGTAGTTATGGGCACAGAGAGCACCTCAGAGATGTGAAGGGATGACGTGGATGTCTGCAGCCAGGGGCTCAGGCAATCTCTAGGTTACAAGAGGGACCCTGGTTGATCATCAATTCCACCACCCAAACATCAACTAGAACTGAGAAATACACCTAAAACACCCTAATGAGATGGAGCCAATCTGTCTATCCTAATGCACTTAAAACATAGCCTACTTTGGAAATCTCATCAACATATATCAGTAACTCATTCTACCATTCTCAACTGTCTCCTTGTATCTAACCAAACTTGGCTGGAACTCCATCCATCCCCAGTGAAGATATGAAAAAGTAATTCTGAATTCTAAGTTATTCTCCACAAGTTCAGGTCCCAAATTCCTTTGTCTTTGGGTCAGTCTCCAACTCTATCCATAGTTCTATCAGCCTGAATATTTGGGGGCTGAAGGGTAATCTAGAAAAGATCTGACCAATGATAATCATGAAGGAGGCACTGTCTCACAGCCCCTCTATTGTGAGCTCACATTTGTAGTCTGAGATAGGGCTGCTCCAACCACAGTTCTGCCCTGCTGAAGAACATCTGCCTCATCTCCAACCTCAAATCTTTAGGTTATACTTGCATATTTGTAGTCTCTCTTATGCTCATACAGCTATTCATAACTGGTGATCTAATTATCCATTTTCCTCAGTGAACTTCATTCTGAGGACTTCTCCAGTTTATTAAAACCATTTCTTCCTAGTCCCCATCTTAGTATCAACACCTAGAAAATTTACCAGGAAAGCTCTCTAATCAAACATCTGAGCTGTATACTAAAAAATAAGTAACCCAGGACCCAGGAACAACCCACAGCCCCTCTTCTCTGGGACCTTTTATATGTAAGGCCTTTTTGAACTATGCCAGTACTCAAGCTTGGTAATAAGCACCTAGCTCCTTGCCTGTGCTTCTGAAACTTAATTATTTCTAGTTGGTATGTTGATGGGAATGAATGCAATTCATCCTAACAAGATGAAAACATAGGCTACTTTGAAAATATCATCAGAAATCCAGACCCTTTCTCCTTTGGCCATGTCTTTGACAATCTCATCTGAAGTTTCCTACTGTCTGCAGTCTAACCCTCTACTGAAATCCTGAAATCTCAGTGCTGCTCTTATTCTGCTGTACACAGTTGGTGTTGAAGCCTGATGGCTGGCTGCTACTTATAGACAGGACACAACCTGCTAATGGGGTAAAATAACTTTATACTGTCAGGGAAGGCTCCAGATCACAGCTGATTTGAGTTTCCAGATGCTTATAACCCACATCACTCCCAGTCTCGTGGTCACTTCTCCATCTCAGTCACTCTACCCTGTACATAGCTCTCCCTTTTGCCAAGGAAGCCTGGAGGAAGGGCAGAACAGAGGAGTAAACACAGAGACAGAGAGCAAAGAAAAAGTCAGCATCAGCCTGGCACCCAAAGCCAACAGGGACCACAGAGGAGAGAGAAAGAGAGAGGCCTCTAGCAGGATGTGGAGGAGAGTTTTCTGTGATGCAGTTTGGCTTCAGACAGGGCCTTGGCCACTTAGCATTCCCTTGAGGCCAGTGGCTGTGAGCACTGAAGGCTGGAGTCGGTCTGATAAGCATCTACTTGGGGACAACCCGGCAGTGTGTCACCCTGACTGCAGCCTTGTGCTCAGCTGCAGTGCTGGGTGAACTGAAGCAACCTCTGGGTGGGGAAGCAGCACAGCACTCTGTGGATCAGCTGACTTTGGCCTTGTGCCTACTTCCAGAGGTGAACAGCCACCTTTCCAGACCACACCCACTTGGGTTTTCATAAACACAGCCTTCAGTTGTACCTCCTTTTACACAAGTTGCTAAATCAGGCTGCTCCTGCAGAAGGAGGCATTCTGATGAACTCTGGTGGAACTTAAAGAACATAAATATCTGGAAACACCCAGAGGAGGACCAAATCTGCCCAGACAGGTCACTTCTCAGCCATTTCCTCATCTTCGGTCCCAGTATGTCACCCTCACATGCTCCACACACTTCCTTCTTCCCCTTTTAGCAATAAAATCAAAGCAAAAATAGTAAGTATCTAGCTCTCTCCAACGTGCTACATCATTCTTCCCAACCCGTTTTAGAAAATAAATTGCCTGCTAAACCAGACCCTTAAATGCCTTGTTTTTCCAGAAGAATCTTGTGGGGGGCCATACCTCTCGTTTGGGCCACCTCCCTGGCGGTTTCACTCTCTATGGGACCTTCTTGTAATCAAGATCCCCCAACCAAGCCTGGCAAGAAGTGCCCAGCCAGCTTCTTGCTTGTGTACTTGGAAGCTTAGCTGTTTCTACAGTTAGTGTTTTGACAAGCTTGGCCGCATCTTTTAAAATCTTCATCTTAGAAACTCAAAATGCAACTACACGTTCTCTTTGAAGCTGGAAAGCAGCCTCTAACTTGATCACCATGCGTATATTCCCAGATGGCTCCTACAGGATCAATGGGTAACAGTGAGTACACAGAAAAGTATGACCCGATTTTCTCCCAGAATCTCAGCGACAGTGACAACACAGGTGCTCCCCACAACAGCTGGTGGAATGCTCTGGAGTCTTTCAAAATGAAGAAGGGCAAGCGAGGCAGGAAGCAGGCCGCTGGGTCCCAGCACAGCTGCCAGGACTCCCTGAGTGCTGCTGACAAGGGCTCTCAGGTGGGTCACGCTCCGAATCTACTCCACCTGCCTCCTGATGTCCCAAATCCTTTTCAACGGCACAATTAGAGTTTAATTGCACTTCTCCTGAAAACTTCGGACATGAAAGAGAATCAAGTGTCTAAAAATGCTTAAATATTTATCATTAAGCCATTTGTTTACATGGCTTTTTCACTTCACTTAGACAACTGTGCTATCCTGCTCATGGTGCGGGGAGAAGGGGAGCAGTAATGGAGTAACTAGCAGAACAGAGGACAGAAGGGGTCTCAGGGTCGTGTCCTCCTGCCCACAGTGTGCTGCTCTGAGGTGCAGTGCTGACTGGGCAAGCTGGCTCCGGAGGAAGCAGCTGTGTTCCTTGGGACAGGAATCCAATCTGCTCAGCCTTTGCCAGAGGCTAAAGAACAAACAAGACTGCCAGTGCCACCCTCTATTGCGCGTGCCAACCTTCCTTCCACAAGCCCGAGTTTGTGCCGACACACCTGGCCCTCCACCTGCCATGGCGAGGATGTTCTAGTGCATTTGCTTTGCTGCTCAGAGCTCCACCAACAAAGACAGATTCAGCCCTACAGGACCTGACCTTGGAGAGAACAAAAAGGTACAACTCCTGGGATGCCAAGCACAGACAGGAAAGACCAAGGATAAGTGTTTGGGGTTCATAACTAGAGCCTTGGGCCCTGTATTAAAATAGTGGCCCTGGAACTCTCGGTGCTGTGCCAATCAGGGAGGTTCAGGGAGGGAAGACGGCTGAGGAGAGGCTCCAATAGCAGCCAGGAGTAAACACTCAACACTCAACGTAAGCAAGACACTGGCTAGAAGTGGGAGAGCTGCTTCCAGATCCTGAGCATCTCCTGATTCCCAGAACCCCCTGGCCACCCTACAGCTCAGTCCCAGTCACTGGGTACCCAAGGAGAGGATGCAGGAGGTCTGCAGCACAGCCTGGGAGAAACAGCAGAGATGGGTAGCTTAGGAAGGAGCCAGGCCAGCCCTGGGCTTGAGGCCCCACTGCAGAAACAGAAGTAACAGAATTATTTCCTTAGAGCCTGGGACAAGGGTATCAGATGTTCCACACACTTAACAGCATATTTTCATAACACGTGGCTTCTGGAAGAACCCCTGGATATTTAACTATAGCTGAGTTTAACCAAAGTACCCTTTTTCTCAGGTACCTTGGTACCTCAGTCACCTTGGCTACAAATAATTGGATGAGTGGTGCCCTTTCTCGCCTGCTTCAGATCCCCTTGTTCTTAACTACAGCAGTTCCTTCCCACTGTCTCTACAGTTCACAGATGTGAGCCACAGCCTTTCCATGATCCCGGGGCTCAGACACAACTTGGCCAAAAGGAGAGGAGTCCATCTGCAAAGGCAGACAGTGATGCCGTTGCTCTGCAAGTCCTTGGCTTCTGTTCAGCTCTGCTCATAGAAAAGCCCGTGGCTTTGCATCCTGCAAACGATCACTGAAAACTTAAAAGTGAATTCTGACAATGCCACTGGGCATCTTAATCGTACTCTGCCTGTAGCCTTGGTTTCATGAGTGTGAACAAAACCATGAGCACCTCAACCAAAGGAACTATCTCAGAAAGGGTTTGCAAGAAGTCCTTTAGCACTTGGTGAAAGTTTAATAAATTATATAAAAAGATAAAAAGTCAGAGTACAGCCAGGATCATTACAGCATTACTCACAATAGCCAAAAGGTAGATGCAACCCAAATGTCAACAGATGAATAGACACACAATGCAGGTATGTATTCCTATACATAGCATTGAAATATTAAGCAGCCCCAAAAAAGGAAATTTTGACACACGGTACAACATGGATAAAGTCTGAAGATGTTATACTAAATTAAATAAGCCAGTCATAAAAGACAAATATGTTATGATTCCACTTTCACGAGGTACCTAATGTTATCAAAATCACAGAGAAGTATGATTTTGGTGACTTCCAGGAATAGAGGGGTACGGAGTTTAATGGGCACAGAGTATAGGTTTTTAAAAGATTCTAGAGATGGATGGTGGTGATTGTTACACAACAATGTGGCTATATTTAATGCCACACAACTATACATTTGAAAACGGTTAAGATGAGCTAGGCAGGGTTGTGGACACCTGTAATCCCAGCACTTTGGTAGGCAGAGGCAGGAGGACTGAAAATTTGAGCCCACCCTAGGCAACATAGAGACTTAGCAAAACCTTGTCTCAAAATTTAAAAAAATATAAAA